ACTATCTCTGATTCTTCTATATTGATTTGGACCTTCTTTTAAGTAGCGCAGTGCTAAGCTGATTGAATATTTAGTTTCAAGCGACAGATACGGCTACAGCTGCAGAAAGAAGCTCAAAGACGGGCCTGTGTTTCAGATCAAAGTCTTGATTGAGTTGAGAGCAGTGGCTGGCTGCTCCTGATTCACTTTAGTCAAAGCCAAGAAGATCTGGCAAACTGATTCCCTTTAAAGTTGCTCAGCTTTGGGTACTTAAAGAAATACCGAGCAGCCCTTTTACCAGAAAAAAATAGTCTGCAAAACCCTGTATAATGTTAATTTACTGAGTTTTATTGTCCAATAGCAATGTTTTAAAAGATCTCTACATATGCGGGGTAACGGCAGCAACAGCAGGGAAAGCTGTAACTGTGTTTGATTACGGTAATAGAAGCTAAGTTGGGTTGTGCTCGATGCCAAACTCCTCACTTCTACATTCTAGGAGTCAACTGTGCTGCAGATTTGTCCAGTAGAACCTCAATTCCTGCAGTACTGGGCTGTCCAGAGCAAGGTAGAGCCATGTGAAAGAGATGAAACGAAAAATATCGTCCATGTAATGATGTACAGTCACACAAGTTCAACAGCCCACAGATGTCTGACTGTGAGCCGGCTGTGTCAGAGCCCTAAAGACTCGCTTAGGAAAAAAAAGCAACAAAGGAGGAATGAAAGATAGCGGACCTTTGAAAGCTGCCGGACAAACCGGAGCAGTTAGTCTCTGATTCAGGGGGACTGCTGGAAACGGAATGAAAGGAACGAGCAGTAGTGAAAGATTTCCTTCCCTTCAGTAACTCGCTGACAGATTGACCGCCACGAGACGTAAATCTGCTCGGAGCGTTTCAGCGGCGGAGGTGATACAGCAGAAAGCTCCCCTCGGGGACGGCAGAAATGTCAGAGCCGTGCACTTGTTTCAAGTTGACTTTATGTTCCAGATCAGAAGCTATTTTCTTTTCACTCGGCGTGACACATGAGGTGGCAGTAGCTTAAAGGTGAGGCGGGGGGGAAATATGAGTGAAGGAAGTGGATGATTTTAACTTGCAGCTAAACCTTTAGCACAGCTGGAAAAATGTGTGGCTCTTAGGTCCAACAGTCAGGTGTAAAAAAAAAGGCAGCGAGGAGGGAGTTTAAACTGTAAAACAACACATCTCAGCAAAGCCTTCCTGGATAAATAGAACTAAAAACAGAGACGCTGCATAAGTTCAGCACCGTCACCCTTCCCCTCCCCTCAGAACGTCTTGCTGCCATCTTTGTGCTGATACACTGTTCTGATAAAAAAAAAAAAAAAGAGCCCAAAATAGCTGCAGACAGGATTAAAGAATCACATGAGAGTAAACTGGGTAAAAAAAATGGGGGAAGCGTTATCTTCGACTACAGAGGGAAAGATTTGACGTTTTATGAAAAAGACACAAGGCAGAACAAAAGAAGTCCAAGTGACAGCAAGAACCTGCCCGACTGCCTAATTACAAATGAGAAAGTGCCTCACAGAGGGAGCGTTCAGGAAATGAGGATGTGAGATAAAAAAGGTATCGCTGTAATCACATTTTCACAGCGGGGGGAAGGTAAAATAATCTTAGATGTGACAAAAAGACAAAACAAGTTTGAGCGTCTTCCTGCGGGGAGCCTTTAAATCCGTCGAGTTGTTGTTTGGAGAGGGAGGCGTGGCTGACTGGAGGCAATAAAAACCCATCACGGTGAGGGAATTCAAATAGAAACCCAGAATATTTTCATTGGCTCCGAGTCCAATGAAACAGTCAGCATTAAAAAAAAAAAAAAAAGTAGTTGGAAATATTGAGAAGCAGCAGCAGAGACTGTAAACAGTTACTGTCTGGTAAAGTCTACTGTGCAAAAAAACAAAATGATGGCTCACAGTGAGAGCAATGACTCATCAATTCTCAAAGTCAAGCCTGCACGCAAGACAATACCACTGAGTAAAGCTGAACGATCGTGTGCAGAAATTCCAGCAAATCTGTGAGTCTGTCTGCTGGAACTTGGCTCGTATAGGGAGGCAGGAAACTCCTGGGGTGCGCTTGATTTGGACTAAATGACAGCCAGTACTCACACAGACTCAGTGCTCATTTGTGCAGCTTCCACGTTGAAAAGACACGAGCTGCAAAAAGGAGGATAATTAGCGAACCGAAGCTATGCCGTTGCTTGTGAGGATGAATTCAACTAACTTGTCTTGATCAGCTCAACAGCATTTTCAGTCGACAAACTCAGTAGGTATAGGGTTCCTTTTTTACTTTATTTTTCTTTTCCTATTTCTCTTGCAATGTCCTCGGGCGACACCAACAGCCACAACCAAATTCCTTGTATGTTGTGTACGTTCTTGGCCATCAAAGCTGATTCTGTTTTTACCTTTGACATGTTTCGACTGTCGCTTCAGTCTTCCTCAGAAACGTCACTGATGTGTCTTTATCAGCTGGTTAAAAAAAAAGAATGTGAAAAGGAAACATCAAGTCGACGCACAAGATCACAAAAAGAAAAAGCAGAACATGTGAACCTAAACTCAGCCAAAAGAAACAACCGCATCATGGACTGGGACGACGCAACGATCATTGGAGAGCAACAAATTTAAACGTTGGATCAGGAGGCGAGTCAAAGACGCCATGAACCGTGATGAGGAGGAATCATGCTGCCCCACACCATAGACTGTATAAAAGATGGACGTAGCTACCGTGACGTCACCCGTTGGTTTCTGCACTGAGAAAATGAAGCCAGGGTTTTGCTACTTCCTGGTTGACATCTTGGATTTTTGGAGCCAGTGACGCAAGAATCATCGGAGGGGGGCGCAGCCATAGGAGCAGCGATTGGTCAGACGGATTGAGAGGCGGGCCCTCTCTGCCCCGTCCACATTTACCGCCTTCTGCTCGCTTCATCTGTATGGTCGCTGCCGACTGTCAATCAAGCCAGCCACGCCCCTTGCCCCGCAAAATGTTGACGATTTTTAAAAATTCAGTATTGATTTATTTTCAGATTGGCCACCTGATCTCTGGATTTGACCATGAAAACTAATTTTAAAAAAATCCTGAGCTGTAGGAATGCAGTATTTCGTGATCTGTGATCACTTCTTTTCTAATTCCAGTCTATGGGAGCCAGGGCTTTTTGGAGCCAGCAGCTAGCGGACGTAGTGATACTGCAGGTTTTTGACACTTCCAGGTTGGCTTCATTTTACAGGGCTGGTTGCTACGTCCATCTTTTTTACAGTCTATGTCCCACACATGGGACGCTCTTCTGCAGAGACCACCGGGCAGCAGGAGGCGTGGCCTGTTGGGCAAATCTGACAGATCGCCAGGCGGGTCACGCCTCCAGGAAGCCAGCAGCTGACAAAGACACGTCAACATAGATGTCAGTGACAGTCAAAACATGTCAAAGGTAGAAACAGCTCCTATCTAAAAACTACTTATTGTCCTATTAAAAATAATCAGAGTAGACAAAATGAACCTCATCACGCTGTAAATTCAATGACTGAAAACTGACTTGATTGTTGCTGAACTCAGGAGACTTGAGTGGCACTTTGCTTGGCTTTATTCATCTGCTATGAGACCTGGAGAACCCATTTACCTCTCGGCTTTTTTACCGTCTGTGATCTGTGTGTGCACCGGTTTGCTCTGCTGGAATATTGTCTGGCATGAGGACTGCAAGGTGGTAATTTGATTAAGCGCAAATGAAATTCATTCCAGAATTAAAACATAAAAGAAACACGCAAAGAGTGGAACGGCAACAACGAAGGTCTTGAAACCAGATTCTGACACGAGGCCCACCTTGCCGGTGATAATTATAACGCTCCTCATTGTGAGCCGTTTGCTCGGGCTGGGTGGTCCTCGATTACTGCGAGGCATGACAGACACGGCGTTATGCGATTAATGTTCTTACCCAGCTACTTTGCTGCCGTCTTTTAATGCGGGGCCCTTATCGAGCATGCTCCCATGATTGCATTACATTGCATTCGCTGCCTGTTTTCAGAGCCACCAGGAATAGGGAGCAGAACAATATAAAGCTTGCCTCATTTTTACCCTTAGGGCAACTTAGGGTTTTGAGTTTTATCTTATGTTGCTACCAACTGTTCTTATTTTAGCTGATTTACATTATCTTAAATCTGAATTTCATTTATTATTTTGCTAGTTTGCCTTTGATTACAATAATTTCATCAACAATTTTTAAGCCCACATTGTTTGTTTACAATCCAGCTGAACGAAGATGCAAACAGAGTCGATTGAAGGCCTCCATCAATCGTGCTGATGTTCTGCTCGACTGACGCAAAGTCTCAAGTGCATTTGTATATTAAATGAGCTCGAACCGGTTGGCACCAATGGGAGCTTTCAGTTCCCCGAAGACCCGGATCTCCGAGGACCGGCTGCATAACTTTGCCCAGTTAGCGATCCAGGCTCCAGGCTTTGTTGTGGCCGTATTGTTTCAGCCCGGTTCGTGAGAAATCACCTCTCTGATGTCAAATAGCGTTTGCCGTTATGGAAAAGGTCTCAGCCAGAAGCCACAATAAAAGTTCTTGGATATTGAATGCTTCATCATTTGTGACAGGAACAACACAGAGTTTTAGTTACGTAACCGACCCGAAGAGAACGCAAACATTTTAACTGGATTCCTGCTGCTGAATTCTACAGAGTTCAACCTCTTAGCTTCTCCTCACCATTAGCATCCTGAGTAACACGCTGCCTGTAGCTTATACGATGGTTTTGGCACCATCCACTGCAAGTACAGGTACACCATCCATTCTCCTCGTTTGTTCAGAAAAATCTCTCTTCTCTGCCTTTTTGGCCCTCCAGCCTGCCTTCAGGGTGGAAACTGTCCAAATCCACCTCAGGCAACAACAAAAAAAGAGAAAAGAAACCCACAGATTTTAACATACAATTCCAGGAACTTGTGGCATTTCTGTATGTACGAGTCGAGCCTGGAGACGTGTGATTCGCCCCCACGCTCCATTTACAACATCTCTTCCTTCTTTGTTTCTCCAGAACAAGGCAAAGTTCTCAAAGTTCTTCACACAAGCGAGGAGGTCTTCATCATATCTCAGTACTCTCTGTTCCACAACGAGGGCCCCGTTCTAAACATGGCCATCGACTCCCAAAAGGTATGAGTAATGAAGCTGCATTCGGATTTCTGCTGCATTTGTGTTTTCATTCTAAATAATTTATCAGGGCTTTAGACGGTGCTGGGAAAGGCTGCGAAACATGCAATAAGCCATGTGTTCATGGAAGCCTTTTTTTTTTTTTCTTAAAACCTGAAGATGATTTCAACAGTGCAATATCTAAAAACATGCTTGCTATTTGTTTTTTTTAAATGAATTATTTAAAAGATGAAAGATGTAAGAAATTAAACCAAAAAACATGTTGTAAAATCTCTTCTTAAGTCATTCATCTGCTTGCTAATTTCTTGTGCGAAATATCTAAAATAAAATACTGAATCTTGCCAATATTCTGCCTATACGGAGGAGATTTAATATTAAAGTTGGAGTTATTACTGTTAAATATCCTCTAGTCATGCGTTGTGTGTCTAGATAATAAAAAAATAATCCTCATTCTGTGCTTTCGTTGAGATGTACTGTCCCATGTTGGCCTGAAGGCCGTCTCAGACGCTCTGCAGTTATTATGGCATAAAAAAATTCTCTCATTTTACTTTGAATAATGAAACAACACTCGCGGATGTATTCCAGTAGCATCGCTGTTGCTAATAAATCTGGGAGATGCATACAGTGTTCCATGTTTGCCTCCTCAGGGACATCTGTACGTCGGTACAGCGATGGAGGTCCAGCGACTGCCGCTGGCGGACTGCCGTCGCTATGGCGACACGTGCAGGGAGTGCATCCTTTCTCGGGATCCGTACTGCGGCTGGGACAAGGCCAGGAGGAAGTGCATCACCATCCCGCCTGGATACAACGTCACGTCTGGGTACGAGCGGATGCGAAGTCGCCGCCGCATAGCGATTGGCTGTTTTCACGGGAGCCTCACAGCGTTGAGTGGGCGCTCGTTGGCGATTCTGAAAACGGCACCATTAGAAGAAATAATGCCCGAGTGTTCTGACTGACAATGCTTGGCCTGGGATGATGAAACTTGCTTTAAGTGCAAAGTAACTGCAGTTCAAAGCAAAGCAGGGCAATCACCCAAATCACAGCAGACACAATATTAAGACGGTTTCATTCTGATGCTAAATTACTCTGGTTTAACGCACTTTCTAATGTTAAATAACTGCACACAGTCCTTTCTCCTCCCTCGCCCCGACACCGCCGAATGATTTGTCCCTGCATGTTTTAATTTGCGAACAACAGCCGGTTGATGCAAAGACTCGTAAGCCGTTTGTGAAACTATTTAACGCTGCTAATTTGTCTTCTCTATTCTTTTCCGACAGGGCACTCATTCAGAATCTGGACCATTCGAACTCCTCGGTTTGCGGGGAAGCTGCTGGTGAGCCCTTATCTGCTCTCTCCCACTCTCTCTGTATCTTAATTAAACCAAAATAGGAACCTTTATGAGCAACTACAGTAAAAAGATGATTATCATATAATTGAGCAGAGAGCAAAAAACCCACAGGGAGAGATTTTTCTTATATATATTTTTTTTTATATCATGCCTTGCCCCGTTTCGGAGCTCAAAACCCAACTATAACCTCAACTAATCATGGCAATTACTAGCCTCTGAAGGAAAGGCTATCTCCTCAAGTGATCTGACTTCAACATTGGATTTATTTCTAGTCGTGTCACTGGTGCCATGTGTCCTGTCTGGTGATACGGCGACAACTTTGGCCTATTCTCTTGATTAGAGGTGATGAGAAGCAATAATCTTTTAGTAAGCATGGCTCCACTGGTAGACTTTGTCCTTCTTCATTTTACAGTCAAAAAACAACATAATTTCTCAAGCAACTCTTCCCTAATGTTTTTTTTTGCTTCCAAGCCCTGCTCCTTGGCCTTGGTTACCGTCCTGCCTGCCAAGCCTTCCAATCTCACGCAGTAGGCTGCTCACAGCGATAACATTCATATTCATCGCTGGTTTTTTTTTGTAAAGCGTTGGCGCCAAGACAAAAGCGGGCTTCTCATTTTTAGTCAACAACCGTCGATCGTAGCAGCTGAAATGACAACTAATTTTATTAGCCGCAAACCGGCTACTATAACAACTCCGAGGCTTGGTTGAAAAATCCGTCTCCAGCTGACTTTTGGAGGCTTCCAGCTGACCAATATGGAAGTTGGTTGGAATATACGTTATTATTTTTAACACAAAGCACTCTGCAATGATGTTAGAACCCAAATCTCAAGGGGAAAGGAAAGTAAGACGCAAACGAGATTGATTTACAGACATTAAATATATATTAATAATGAGTAGGGGGGTTTTGAGTTACATAGTGAGGCTCTGTAGAGGATTACAGTGCAGCAGGAACAACTGTAGGATCAGGCAGCTTTTTTTCTAAAGTAATATAGTTTAGATGTTGAATACATAGAAGTAAATTAGATAAACACAAAGATTACTCGTATAGCATGATTGCTTTGAAACTCAGTGACGTGTGTCGATCTGAAATGGGGCGTTTCTAGCATAACCCTCTACAGCCACATAATCATAATCCAGCTCTGCCATGTCTCGTCTAGTTATGATTGATAAACTACGATAACGCAGCTATTTTAGGGACGGGGTATCATTTGTCATAATATATCCAGAGCCCTGGTGAGGACATGTGGAGGATTATGGCATGTATTGTGTTTTTGTTCCCCCTGTACTTCGACATAGCTCAACTACTAAACTGTTTTTTTTGTGAAAACAGCATCATGTTGGTTCTATAGGAGCTTATTCCTGTGTTGTTCACCTGCCAGTCAAAGGAGTGGGCGGTACTTAGTGTGGCTGCTTTCCTTCCATTTTCTGATTATAAAGCTCCATCCTGGACGTCTTTTTCGTTTCTGTCCGTCCACAGTGGCCTACGCTGCTTGTGCCAGCTATCCAATTCTTCTTTGTGTTTATTCCAACAAAGCAAGAAGCTGAAACCCAATCACCATTTGCAAAGCTTATAATTGGATGAATCCACCAGGGGGCCCCAGTGCTAAAATGATCTGTGGGTTCATATTGACTGCCTGGCAAATGGGCTCTGTACCATAAAGGTAATAATGCAGAGCTCGCCTTAGGGCTTCCTCATTCAAGTTGATGTGGTGCATATTCCCAAACAAATTTGCAATTGATCAAATAACTGTGAACCACACAGTACATAATGAATACGGGGACTTCGGGGCGTTTGTGTCCCTGCAAGTCTGGGGCCTGAGGCGGATGCCTGCTGTGCCGTGTTGATAATTCTGCTTTGTTAAAGATCTACAAAACAATGTTCACTGGTCAGAGCAGGAAATATAAAATATGAACCTGATATGGGCTTCAGTTTTATCAGGTGTCCACAGAGCGAAATGGAATCAACATTTATTTTGATATGAAACTCTTCATTTCTTTGCACCTACAGCTCTGAAGCTGCGCCGAACTTCCCCCAGAGAAGTGGTGGTGCCGTTCAACACCTCCATCTTCCTCCCATGCCCTGTGCGCTCCTTCCACGCCACCTACCGCTGGGAGAAGGACAACTGCTTCAAGAACTACCCCTGCCTCTTCTCTGGAGACTTCTGTGTCCTGGGGCCAGTTGTGGACACGCCCCTGAAGGAAGGTGTCTTCCGCTGCATGGCCACCGAAGACGGATTCAAGGTGGAGGTTATCTCCTTCAGGCTGGTGAACGACGGCAGGCCCCTGGCCGCCTCCCTTGCCTCCACCTTGGGGCTCTCGCTCCTGCTCGCTGTGGCTACGCTGTGGCTTCATTAATGCAGCTAACACTAATGCTAACTCCTCATCCTTACTGGCTCCCAATGACAGGAAAGGCAAGGAGCCATTGTTCAGAGGTCAGGTTCGCAGAGCACTGAAGTACATGGTTGGGTTGTACGGTGACGACTCACCTTTTTCTATTTCGGTTTTTAGATAAAAAGAGACTAGAAAATATCTATGAATAAGGGATTGAAATTCTATATTTTTTAGCCTAAAGCAACATATCTGCAACCGCAGCTGTCTTAACAAGATCAAAACTGGAAAATGCATACATTAACATTTAAACTAAAGTGACTAGGAGTTACTGTCCACGAACTGACATGTCTTTCAAGTTTAAGCTTGATTCAACCATAATTAGGTGCTTTGCGAACCTTTCCTCTCCGACTAAAAAAAAGAGAAACATATCCTATGAGTTGGGCAAAAAAAACACCAATACCAGGCCAATTCTTTTTACCATTTCTCTACTTATTTTGAAATTGACTTGATTGTGCTTATTTGTGAATATGTAAACCTTTAATACCGCTGTTCCATCTAATCATTCATCTTGTTAAACCTCATTGGTATAGCTCATTAGTACTTAGAAAAATGTCTGGTATTGAGATTTAAAAAGCCTTAACACTTCTGGGACATAAACTCCTAAGCACAATTTTGCAGTCGAGGCAGAACACTGCAGACTCGGTTGGACTTGGCGCTATAATTAGTGCAGCTGAGTCTAACAACATCGCTGGGAGGAAGTGTCAGCTTTTTGACGGGAAGTAGGCGGATGGGCAAGAGCTCATCCTCGAACATCACTGTGTCTCAGCACCTCCTCCTCAGACAAGGCAGTTTCTTGCATCTTTTTAGCAGATGGTATCAGACATCGTTATTACGCCTTGTTCACAGCTTTGTCCGTTGTTTTTCTTTATACATGCCATCGTCGTTCCTCCTCCTCCCCAGAGCATCCGCACAAACCACTCGCTCTTAACAGGATGTGAAAAAAAAACACCACAACATCCCCCACAATAAATACCTTTGGAACAAAAGTTCCACAATGTTAGCGGTGAGGAGCAAACCGCCCTCACAATCTTTCAATACTTTGGAAAACCCTTCAAGTATTAATCTCCGTTAATGACTACGAACAATCTGGTTGCAAGTCGTGCCAAAACAGCGATCTTTCTGCTAATTCTGAATAAGCTGGCGGCAAGTCATTAGCGGAAGGAACTCGGCGTCCGTCAGGTTTTGGGAAATGGAGCGAAGACCTCTATGGCAAAGAGGAGCTAATGCGCTGCGAGCGAAACCGCAACCTCCGTCAGCCCGACAATGCGTAAAGATGTGAACAAGGTGTTCCGCTATTGCAATTACAGTAACCACACACACTTAGATTATCATAGGGGCAGATGAAGCTAATGGAACCGCAAAGTAGAGTTGCATTTCATAGTTTGCCAGGAGGAAAAAAAAAACAAAACAACAAAGGCTTGTACTTAAATCCGTGAAGTATGTTCTGTATTTTATTGCTCTGCAGATGCCAATTTCTACCATTGCTGCCTACGTATGTGACAGTTTGTCTTGATGGTTTGGGTTTTTAAACGCCATAGTTAGAATGTGATATGTACCCATTGACTGCTTTGCCTCTTTCCCCAGGGACATCAGTGCAAATAGAGAATCGTTATTTTTTCATACCTGTATCTCTATGCTGTGAAACAAAAACAAAAAAAAAGAGGCTTGACAGATTCCAACGAGACGCTTCGCTGATGTGCGGCAGCAACCACAACCGGCGGCGAGAACGACGAGTTTAGGATCAAACATCGCAGACGCCCACTGCGCCATCCTGTAATATCTTTCTTTGATAACCTTGGAAATAATGTATTAAGATTAAAGCTGAATGGGGGAAAAAAAAAGAACAAGTTGTGAATCTAGCTGGAGTTCAGCAGCATTGAAATGCCACAAAAAAAAAAAAAAAAAAACTCTGCCAAACCTGATGAATACTGATCAGCTGACTAAGAAGTAGACTTATGTGGCGAATAAATTATGCAGCGGATTAGCAAGTCCTCCAGAGCTTTGAGAATTATCATTCGCTAATGGTACATAAATCTGGCGGTACCGAACCTTCCGCAGTGGCAGAAATGTCATTAATAGCTAATTACACAACGGAGCCGGCTCGACGTGTACCGTATTAAAGAATTTATTTGACACCGTCAGGGATGCAGAGCGTGTTCTCGGCTGTGAAAACCGCGGGACAGCGTTGCGTTTGTCGCTCGGCCCGGTTGTGCGTTGCTGCTCGGGGGATCTGCTCGCTTTCTGCATTGCACTGACGCGGGCTACTGACTGTGCCACAAAAACAAAAGCAAGAGGAAACACTGGATAAACAAAGCTGCGTTGAGCCTCATCCGCCCGGTGCTTATCGCTTCGTCTTACGTTTGCATACGACTTTGTGTCAGACAAACCCTCAGCACGTGTCGGTCTTCCTCACAGCCAAAACACAGAAATACTGCAGGTCTAACGCGCATATTAATCGTCTTTTTGTGTCTCTGCGTCGCCACCAGGGTGGAAAAATTAACACCAGCCACCAGACTTTTGGCAGGAAACAAACTCCACAGACGTGCTCGAGGCGTTTTTTTTTTTCTTGAATAACCTCTTTATACTGTAACCTTAATTGCTAAGTACTGTACGTGTTGGTGTGATTAGAAAGTCGCTATCACAGGACACGACGGGGGGGAAGAGAGGCCTATGCTATCCAATTCTAATTAGGCGAATGAGCCTGGTATCATAAGCTTCTTCACTGTGCCCCATGTCCATACTATATACTTCCAGAGACCACCAGTCATGCTTTAAAAACCCACTGTATGTTGGATTTTGCTTGCCGTCATGTCCTCTTGAAGCATGACAGTGTCACTTCCATTACATCCCATTGGTTTATTTCACCATGATCGTGACCCCTAAGTAAGATTTCAAGACTTAAGATGGCAGAACAATCTCACTGAACTCCAGAAAAGTCCTTTAAATTCACATTTTTGTGGACTACTTTGTGGGAAAACCTTGTATACTAGCTTTTTAACTTAGCGACATTTAATACTGCTGTCAATGTGACGTCTAGTTTCTAAAGCGACTATAGATACGAAATGAATGTAGTGACTTAAAAACTGTAAGTACAACACTTCAGTAGGTGCATTCGCAGTAATTAGCTACTTCTGCATATAGTCCAGGGTTTTGTTATTGTGACGACAACGATCTACTTGACATCTACAGAAGAACAAAATGTCCGAGGCTTCCTCTGAATAGCTGTGATATAGTGTGGATTTGGGACACAGGGCTTCTTTACTCACCAGGAGGGATGACCTAGTGACAGAGTGTTAAATAAAAGGCCGCTGATTTGCCCCTCATCAGGCAAATCAGCGGCCATCATCATCCAGCATTTTACCCCAATCACCCTCCTCCACCAGGACAGGGCATTGCTGTAAAAAAATCCACACTCGTGCCACTAAAGATTTATAGCATTTACCCAACACTTGCTGGCATGAAGTGACATTTCCAGTCGAGTCCTCGCTTTGATATGGATATTCACGCGGCTATCACTCACTCACATCGTCAGCCGCCCCGATAAAGGCTCCTTCAAAGCAACCTCTTGATTTTTGCCTTCAGGATTTTATTTTTCTTTCCCCTCTCCATCGGTGGATCACGCTATCTGCTGTAAACGACGTCACGTGAGGCGGGTCGCTGTTTTCGTTCGCTCTGGGGTTTTTGAGTGTCGAGTACTGTACATGATGTGCGCTCATGATTCTGTGTCTTGATATATCTAATTTTAAAAGTAACATGCCAAACTATTATATTTAAAAAAAAAAAAAACAGAGAGAGAGAGAGAGAGAAAAAAATAAGAGGAGAGATTTATATTTGTGCCATGCCAGTCTAATGCCATCTCATGACATGTATTTTTAAATAACAGATATCTATAGTGCAATAGATATTCATGTAACAAATCCATATTGACATGTGTTTCCCTGAACATGTGCGGTGAAAATTAATAAAATATAAGAAGAAAGGAATGGCTCTTGGTGTTTATTTTGAAAGCAAAACCCTAATTTACAGTGTTTTAAAAGAAAAATACGTCAAAATGAACGTAGAAAATGATTTGCCACATGATATTTTTAGTAAATCTACGACACATTTGCAGCTTTTTAGGAGATAAAAACCAAATAAAGCTAATTAAGCTCTAACCTAAGCCACAAACGGGCCTTAAAGTCGCAATTTTATCTCATAAATTCAAATAAATAGAGAAAAAATAAACCTTAGTCGTGCAGAATCCCTATAAAACGAGCTATATATTACAATTTTATTCATATTGATCCCGTTTCTAACAGCACTTTAATTTGATAAAGTAAATTAAGCAAGCATTTAACTTATTTTGTGCTTCTTACAGTCTTGTGTAAAACCTGCACACACACACACCACATCACAAAATGGTTGACACTCGTTGCGAGTTGCCCGTCTAGACAAGCAGGTTTCATCACCATCTGCTGGCCGATATTTTGGTGTATTGACAAGAATATTGCAAAAAGCGTCGCAGGCTATGGAGTGAGAAAAAAAAAAATTCCCTGACATGATTCATAAATCCCGTCCATAGCGTCTGATTGCCGTTATGGATTTTAAGTCGCTGCTGCTGCTGCTGCACTTCTTCTGAAGCCTCAACCTTCAACGGCGAACCGAACAGAGGCGTCATCTGCTGCAACAGTTGGACACGAGGCAGCAACAGCCAGCAGGACTCACAAAGAGAAGTGCGTTCTAATTCATCAGCGTCTTATCTGAAGTGTTAATATACGTCCGTCTGAGGAGTATTTACTCAGCCTGCTGCGAGTCCTCTGGAGTTTTTGATTGATTGAACTATACACACCAATTAAAAAAAGGCCTGTTGAGGGGAGTTGTGTGCATACTAATTAGGTCTGTCAGGGAAGATGGATTTTCACACTTCAAACACACATCTACAAATCTGTCACTACCACTTCTTAATGGCTTCCCCAATCCGAGCA